CAGAGTCCACTTCTTAAGGCAGGGCCCTTCCCCGCTGAGGTGAGCAGCTGCTGTCATTCCACCCGCCCTTCTCCTTCGGGGCCAGGAGGGGCTGGGGGCCCTAGAGCCACAGCCAGAAAAAGGCTGAACTTTTTTTACTCAGTTGAATAAATAATCAGGCTTTATGCTTTCTTCTACCTGTGAGGTAAGAGGCGGGTCCACCCCAGCTGGGGTCCTGGGGCTGCCCGGGGTGGGGCTCTGGGTGTTAATTGTGTTCACGTGACTGAGCCAAGTTTCAGTCCTTGGGGACCGATATGTTCCCTGTAAAACATTTCCCATCTAACAGTCGCTATGTTAAAAATCCCTGGGATTCCATTTAGTCATGATCGCCAGAGAAAAACGGAATTCAGAACTAGAGAATGAAATGAGATAAAAGTGGACGGTTGTGGCTGGAATTCTTTCTTGTACAAATCAAAATGCGGTAATAGTTTCAACACATTTGACACCATCATAAATCCAGACACATCCAGTAGGCTCACTCCATAGCTCCGGTAGGCGGGAATCAGTCACTCAGGCGCCTTCACGGACCTCTCCTGTATCCCCCGTCCTCCCTGGGTTTGAGGAGCTCGGGGTCCTGCCCTGGGACACATCTGTCTTGCCCTCGGACACTGGCTCTGCCCTTCGCCCAGCACTGCCAGGAGGCCAAAAAACAAGGCAGTGGCCACGGGCTCCCTTCCTGCTGGGCCCCTTTCTGGGCAGTGCTAGTTTTCTCCTCGGAGGCCAGTCGGCCTCCCACCACCCTGGCTGCAGTCCTCACTCCACACTTCAGGGGATGCCAGGGTAGTCTCCTTACACCCTGCCCCACCCTCCTGACAGGCCCTTCACCAAACTCTCTTCAACCCCTCTCTGGGCCTGCCACCTGCCTCCTGCTGGGACTCTTGTGTTTCTGGTCATGAGCTCAAAATAGTAATACATTTTAATTCATTTTTTTAAAAATACTGAAAATATTAACAGAAGTCACAGTAATGAATGTGTGCAATATAAAGTTTCAGCCCTGAACACAGGCTCTTGTCCAGTTTAGCACGATCAGCTATTCCTGCGTATTTTGCAACTATAATTAGTTTCTCGCTTTTGAGGAGGGGTGGCCACAAATCTGCACCACTCGCTGGCCTGTGGCCTGGCAGGGAGACCCAGCCTCCAGCTGCCCTCAGCCCAGGATCCCCTTCCTGGCCTCCTCAGCCGAGCCCCCTGCAAGGCACTCAGGCAGAAACTCACCCTCAGGCCGGACACCAGGATAAACTTCACACAGAGGAGACAGTGAAATGCTTCCAACTACGCAGACCCCAGAAACTGAGGGCAGTGACCTTGTGACTGTGGATTTCTACATGGTCTGTAATATCAATATTGACTTTCTCTTTGACCCAAATTACTTGAATGAATGTTTTTAAGTATCAAGACTGTTCATTGTAGAAGTCATCCTTGTGTTGTCAATTCTAACTGTGTGGACTTGCAGTCAAAGGGCATAAGTAGATTGGGTCTACTTTTGAAACCTGGCTGAGACTTTCCTGTGACCCAGTGCACATCCATCAACAAACGCCGGGGCCCACGCTGACCGGTCTGTGTGAGCTGAACGTGACATGCGTGCTGCACGTGTCATCTCAGTCTTTTTCAGTTAAACATGAGAATTGAAGCATGATCAGGTTTTTCAAATATCCTATGGATATTTAAAAAGAATGTTAACCCTTGGAGAGGCAAGGATATTGTCTTAGTCCACGGGGACCCCACACCTTGTAGGGAAGGTGAGAGGGGGCAGGTCGTGTGTGTCCTCGGGGCCTGCTGCGCTCTCTGGCCTGCCTCGTACCATCCTCCTGCCTCTGTGGGCACCCAGCTCCTTCCGGCTCCAGGCTCTGCATGTCTGGTCCCACCTCATCGATAAAGCCTTGGTCTAAAGGTCACAAGAGGACTGAGACAGGGCCCAACTCAAAGTGGTCGCCGGGGCTCTCTCCTCATCTCCCCACTGTAAATCTCCGTACAGCATGTACTATTTGCATCATTGTCTGTCCCTTTTCTGGTGTGTTCATTAATTGTCTTCGACCTCCGTGAGGAGCTCCCTGAGCCCTGCCTTTCCCACCTTGTTTACAGACTCTCAGGGAGCTGGCACTGAGCCGTGCTCAGTGGGCTGTTAAGGCAGCAAACAACCAAACAGACAAGCTCTGCCCATTGTTTCAACCTGGGGGCTGGTGCCATCAGGAACGGGGTACAGAGGGGCTCTGGGTGCTTAGTGTGGCCTGGCTCCCATGCCCACATCCGGGCCTGGCTGAGGCCACCCTGCAGGACTTGATTGAACACTCGCTTCCTGTGTTCCCGTTGTGGGGAGGACCCCTCAGTACCAGGGCCACAGCTAGGAAAGGACCACCCCAGAGGACCTCATGAGAACACTCAAAACTCAAACAACCCAAGAAAGCCTGAGCAAACATTGTGAACAGACACTTCAACAGATGGCAAGTAAGCACGTGAGAAGGTGTTCAGCATCGTTAGTCCTTAGGTAAATGCAAATTAAAACCACGAGGACACAGCACCGTATATCTGCTAGAATGTCAAACATTATCAACCGAGTGTTGGAACCTTGTGGAGGAAGCAGAACACTCAGAGATTACCAGGGGATCTGACATGATGCAGCCACTCCAGAAAGGGTGGAATGTTAAACTTGCACCTACCGCACAGTCGTTCCATTCCTAGGCAGCCGAGAGAAATGAAAGCACATGTCCCTGTAATGACTCGTACATGAATATTTGTGGCAGATTTTTTTGCAATGGCCCGATACTTTAAGCAATGCAAACGTCCATCAACAAGTGAACAGGTGAACAGCACAATGGAGCGCTATTTACCAAGAGGAAGAAATGAACTATGGTTTCTCACCACATGGATGAATCGCAAGTAATTGTGCTGAGCGAAAAAAGCTAGACTCTCATCCCCCAAAACAGAGTACGTGCTATATAATCCATTTACACAAAATTCAAATAGTACGAACAGAGCACAGGAAGGGACAGGGCAGACATTCAAACATAGATGAAAAACGTTGGGGGTGATGGATGCGTCCATTCTCATAGACACTGAGATCCTTTCAGGGGTGTATGCACATGTCAAAACTTATTGCAATATATTCTTTAAATATGTGAAGTTTATTGTATGCTAATTATACCCCAATAAACCTATTAAAACAAAATCACAACATATCAAAACTCTTGGAATGCAGCTAAAGCCATGCTAAAGGGAAAGTTATAACCTAAAATATATGCATTAAAAAAGAAAAAATGCTGAACATAAACAATCTGAATGTCCACATAAAAAAGCTAGAATAAGCAGAAGTAAATCACAAAGATGAGACCAGAAAGAAATGAATTAGAAGGCAGATGTTCACTAAGAAAAATCAAGACAACCAAAGGCACAAGCTCCACATGCCTTGAAAAGACTAATGAGATGAATAAGCCACCAGCAGCACCGGTCAAGAACAGCAGAGCGCCCAGAGTCCCAGCTGTGCGGGGGGCTGTGAGGGAGGATCGCTAGAGCCCAGGAGTTTGAGTCTGGTCTGGGCAACATGGTGAGACCCTGGTCTCAAAAAAACAAGGGGGTGGGGGGAGAGAAGAGACAAATTGCCACTATCAGGATTGAAAAATGCATATGACTACAGATTTTGTAGACATTAAGGCTAGTAGAAAGACACTACTAACAAATTTATACCGACAAACTTGAAAATTTAGATTAAATGTACCAATTCATTTTAAAAAGAACTGAACAAAGCAGATCTAATAGGAAATACAGAATCTGAATACTTCAATTATTTATTTTAAAAAATTAAATCTGGGAAAAAAAAACCTTCCTAAAAAGGAAACTCCAAGCCTAGATAGAGAGCTTTACTGGTGAATTCTTCCAAATGTTTAAGAAGAAATAAAACCAATGCTACATAAATAAACTCTTGCAAATTTTTTTTATTATACTTTAAGTTCTGGGATACATGTGCAGAATGTGCAGGTTTGTTACACAGGTCTAGAGGTGCCATGGTGGTTTGCTGCACCCATCAACCCATTAAGTATTTCTCCTAATGCTATCCCTCCCCTAGCCCCCCACCCCCTGACAGGCCCCAGTGTGTGATGTTCCCCTCCCTGTGTCCATGTGTTCTCATTGTTCAGTTCCCACTTATGAGTGAGAACATGCAGTGTTTGGTTTTCTGTTCCTGTGTTAGTTTGCTGAGAATGATGGTTTTCAGCTTCATCCATGTCCCTGCAAAGGACATGAACTCATCCTTTTTTATGGCTGCATAGTATTCCATGACGTGTATGTGCCACATTTTCTTTATCCTGTCTATCATTGATGGGTCATCAGAATGAACAGGCAACCTACAGAATGGGAGAAAATTTTTGCAATCTATCCATCTGACAAAGGGCTAATGTCCAGAATCTACAAGAAACTTAAACAAATTTACAAGATAAAAGCAAACAACCCCATCAAAAAGTGGGTGAAGGATATGAACAGACACTTCTCAAAAGAAGATGTTTATGCAGCCAACAAACATATGAAAAAAAAGTTCATCATCACTGGTCATTAGAGAAATGCAAATCAAAACCACAATGAGATATTATCTCGTGCCGGTTAGAATGGTGATTATTAAAAAGTCAGCAAACAACAGATGCTGGAGAGGATGTGGAGAAATAGGAACACTTTTACATTGTTGGTGGGAGCCTAAATTAGCAAATATTTTTTTAAAGAGAATATACTCCTAACTCTTACGGTACCTGAATAATCCTCGTAGCAAAAATTAAACAGAAATACTACAACAAAAGAAAAAAATCACACATCATTTTCTTTTTTAAACATTGACCCAATGTATTACCAAACTAATTCCTGTGAAATACAAAAAGAATAATATATCATGATAAAGGTAAGTTTGTTTAACCCATGGTTAATGTAACATATGAAAATCAAATCATCTATCATCTTAATAGATACCAAAAAGAATTTCATAAAAGTCAACACTTATTTATGATAAAAAGCAAAACCCTTAACAAATTAGGGATAGACTGGGCTTCCCTTGATCTGATAAATAGCATCTACAAAACCGAACATCAAATATTATATTTAATAGTGAAATTAAATGTGGAACACGTTTGCTCTGAGTCCATGAATGAGATAAGATCCCCATTGGCCACCTCTATTCAACACTGGACTGAAGGGTCCCAGTCCACAAAACAAAGCACAGAAAAAGAGATTAAAGGTACATGGATTGGAAGGAGAAGATAAATCTGAATATTCATGGATGACATGATTACACAAGTAGACATCTAAAAGATACTTTGGATTCAATTAAGAAGAGATTTTAAGAAAAAAAGAGGAATGTTCTGGCGTGAGGAGCTCTGCAACGCACTGCTGGGTGCAGAAGATGAAGATGGCACCACGTGTCTCTAAACCACAAACGTAACCACTGATTTCTATACATATTTGCATTTGCTGTAATGTGTGAGAAATCTGAAGGTTACCCAGCACAACCGTCCACAGCAGATGGCCCTCGAAGGGGATGGGGGTTAGAGCCAGGCAGGGCCTGGAAAGACTGGATTTTATACGGATGTGGAGGACATTGCAAGAGAAAGGCATCCAAGACGTTCTCACGAAATCCACTACAACTGTACAAGAGAATGAAGAGCTGTGATTTCGACAGCCAGCTGGTGGATCTCCTCCTCAGGGTGCTTTACAATGTCATCCCCTCCAGCGGAAATGCAGCCTCGTCATATCCCTGAGAAACGGGTCTGTTGGTTCCTCCCTCCACACGTGTAGACTGTCCCTCCAGGAGGTTAGACGTCTCCCCTGAAACTGGCGCAGGAGACACCGCATGACCAAATCGGCACATGTACAAGTTGTCCCCAAAGCACATTTGGCAAGCCCATAAGATAGGGACGCACAAACATGTCAACCGGAAAGCACCTGGCAACGTTCAAGGCATCTTGACACTGAAGCACCTCAAGCACCTGCAACAGCAGCGCAGTTCCCACAGGTGAGGAAACAGGCTGAGCAAGCTGCAGCATAGGCCCCTGCCAGACCCACGGCTCCCAGCGCCCCCAACAGCCCTCTTCTCCCACCCCAGGGCAGGCCTCTCCGATGGGGACTCCAGCCACTGACTCTGCCCTCATTAGTGTGGCCCTGCTCTCCCCTGCCCACGGGTCCCCTTGCATCCATGAACCCTGTGGACAGCCCTTCTGAAGCCAGGCTCCTGTGGTCAGAGTCCCTTTCCACTGCATCCATAGCCCACCCCAGAGCTCACCCCTGAGCTGGAGCACAAACCCACCTGCTGTTTCTGTGTCCCCCTTCACCACACCTTCGTCCTCCTCATCCTGGGGCACGGCCTCGGCCTCCATGATTTCCTCGTACAGTCCTGCTAGCGGCATTTCCCCAATGACATCATAGATCGCTTCTTCAGGAGATGCCTCAGATCTTCCCAGACCTGAAGCAAGGTGAACATGGTCACACGCAGGCCCTCAGTGTGGACGTGGCCACAGGCAAGGGAGGGCAGCGACTCCAGGCGGGAACCCCACCCAGGCAGCAGAAAGGCAGGACGCTGTTGGCTAGGATGGGGGGGCCACAGGAACACAGCCAGACCCCCAGTGCCCTCCCATCCCTGGCCACCGTCCCTTGTCAGTCAACCACATGATGCTTCCCAGTGAGCCCCAGTGTGCTGCCTGGGGGAACCTTCTAGGGTTCAGCTCAGTCTTGAGGGCTGGAGGCTGAGGCAGATGTCTGCCACTCTCTCTGGCCAATAAAATGAGCCCTAAGTGGCCAGGCACGGTGGCTCAAGCCTGTAATCCTAGCACTTTGGGAGGCCGAGACGGGCGGATCACGAGGTCAGGAGATCGAGACCATCCTGGCGAACACGGTGAAACCCCGTCTCTACTAAAAAATACAAAAAACTAGCCAGGCGTGGTGGCGGGCGCCTGTAGTCCCAGCTACTCGGGAGGCTGAGGCCGGAGAATGGTGTGAACCTGGGAGGCGGAGCTTACAGTGAGCGGAGATCCGGCCACTGCACTCCAGCCTGGGCGGCAGAGCGAGACTCTGTCTCAAAAACAAAAAAAGAAAAAAAAGCCCTAAGCGAGACCAGCCTGCAGGCTGAAGCAACTGCCTTAGATGCGGACCCACCATGTTGACTTCTGACCAACTCGAGTTCCGGGAAGGCCTCTAAGATTTCTATTTTATCTACTGTTCCTTGCATAAGAGCATGCATTTACCGTAAATCCTGCCCTTAAGCAATTGTCCTGCACGTCCCCTTCCCCTGGGGTATAAAACTTCTAGTTGTGAGGGATGATCATATGGGCATCCACCGTCTCAGCTAAAGGCCGTCCAAGGCACGGACATCGCTTGTCCTCATAAGTCCCTTTTAAGCGTTTCTTCCTAAGAAACTGGATTTGTCTCTCTTTCTTCAGCTTCCCTGGACTGTGGGGGTAGCTCTGCACAGGCCTGACCTATGGAGCATCCCACCTGCCCGGACCCCAACACCAGGTTGGAGCTGTGAGCTGCTCCTGCTCCCACACACACACCAGCTGATGGGATCAGGGTGGGGTCACGCTTACCCCTCTGCATGGCTTGTGTGACTCGAGGCAGAATCAGAAAGGCCATGAGGCCCAGAAGGAGAAGACCAAGAAGGGCTCCCAGGATGACACTGACCACCCAGAGTGTCCGGAAGGGCGCTGCAGGCAGCGGGGAGCCTGGGCCAGGCTCTGAGGAAGGAGAGGTCTTGAGCCAGCAGAGTGGCCAGCGGGGACCTGCACACCCTCCGCAGGACAGGGTGGCTCCAAGGGCCCAGCCACACCCCTCCCTCATGGGGGACCTGCAAGTTGGAAGTGCTGGGGGGGCATCTGCTGCTTTCAGCTGCGCAGAGCACCCCAGAATGACTAGTGTCCACTGGGGGGGTCTGCTTTCCAGGGACAGCCCCCTTCCTTGGTAAAACATGGCCCCCAAGCAGATGCCAGGGCAAGTCACAAGAGGTGACCAGAGCACAGAGAATGGGGGCGGCTCAGGGAAAGTTACCCACTGCTGCTATTTGTGCTAAGGTCATCGCTGTGGTTAACTGTTTGTTTGCTGCAAAGAGAATGAGGTGCAGGCTTTGGGAACAACTGAACCTGCCAACACCCAGGTGACACATACCCGAAATGGACAAGGATTGGAATAAACAAAAGGGAATTCCCAAAAAAGATTGGGGGAAACCCCAGGGGGGCCTCCACAGCAAATCAGCTTATCCCAGAAAAATCCCAGGGTGGAAACCAGCCCGCTAAAGCCTGGGCGTGCTCTCCTGCCCACCGAAGCGACGGAAGCAACACTCAAGACCGACCCCATCCCAGCGGCCTCTGCCGGCCTCATGACCCGTTTCCCAACGCCCCCCACTCACCCAAGCAGCGCACGCCCGCGTCCTCCTTGTGCGCGCAGTCTCCGCGTCCCCACCGCTCCGCAGGGCAGCCCCGCAGGGACGCCTCGCTGCCCCGGCACCCCACCTCGTCCAGCCACACGGGTCCGGAGCCAGGGCCAAAGGCGGCGGACCCCAGGGCGGCGACGGCCCCACCACAGCCCAGCTGGCGGCACACGACCTCCGCGTCCGCCAGGTCCCAGCCGTCGTCACACACGGTGCCCCAGGAGTCCGCGTGCCAGAGCTCCACGCGCCCGGAGCAGCGGTCCTCGCCCCCGCGCACGCGCAGCGCTCCCTCCTCTGGAACGGGGGCTGCTGTCACTGCGGGGGCTGGACCGGGATGGGAAGGAGGACAGGGACAAGGACAGAGGGGTACCTGGGCAGCCGAGCGAGGAGGAGCAGTTGAGGGGCTCCCCAGGGTCCTCAGGAACTTCTCCTGCCTTTTCTGCACAGGAAATGGGGACCCGTTTCTGTATTTGCAAGCTCAGCAGCTAAATTATGTAAAATATTTTTCGTTTCCTTTTTCCCTCTGTCTCCCCAACACACCAATTTCTGCTAAAGAGAGAACCCTCTGTTTAAGCAAGAGATCTCCACATGGGATTACAGATTCCACAAACTGTGCTGGAGTCTTTTCCAAGGGGGACGTCTCCCTGTGGGACGTCCTCAGACCATACCGGGAAGTGCAGGGGTCCTGCTTCCCTCACTGGGGAGATCACCGGGTCTGGGAAGACTCCAGATGTTCCCCACCCAGCCCAGGGCCTCAGCGCAGGGACCCCCCACCTTTGACTGGACCAGCACAGGGCAGACTTACCCAGAATAAGGAAAAGGGAAACTGACATTTCATCTCCCAGGAAAGGGCCCAGGCAGACACAGTGTGGGGCCCCTCAGAGGCCCCTCTCCACCACCACTCCCCCCCCACACAGGCCCACCTGTGCACAGGACCCACGCTTCCTCTCCACTGGAGCATGAATGCTGGTCCCAGGGGGCTGATGGGCACTGCCACAGGGACCGGTCATGCCTGTCCCTGCACTGGATGGAACCCACCCAGAGAAACTCAGGAGCAGACCAGCTTCCTCTCCTGGCCTGCAGCTGCCCGTGGGACCCACAGCCCAGCTGCCTACACAGGACCTCAAGGGAGGCCGCACTCAGGGTCCGGCAGACGCCACCCCAGGTCCCATTGTAGAAAATTTCCAGCCGCCCTGCGCATGGCTGCCTGTGGTCCTGAAGCCTCAGATCCGTGAACTCTGCAGAGAGAGAGGCCAGTCAACAAGGCCCAGCTCGGAGTGCGGGTGGGGACGACAAGGTGGAAGCGCTGCAGGACCTGAGCAGAAGACACTGGCGTCCTCCTTGTGGCTGCAGTCGTGCTGGCCCCAGCCCGCCGACGGGCACTGCCACAGCGCAGACTCGTGGCCCTGGCAGCCCAGCTCATCCAGCCAGATGCGCCCTGCCCCGGCTCCGAAGTGTGCGGCCCCCAGGGCGCTCAGGGCGCGGCCACAGCCCAGCTGCCTGCAGACCACGTGCGCGTCCTGCAGGTCCCAGGCGTCGTCACACACGGTGCCCCACGCGCCCCCGTGCAGCACCTCCACGCGCCCCGCACAGCGCCCCGGCCCCGCGGCCAGCCGCACCCCGAGGCTCCCTGTGGAGAGACAGAGTCAGGGCGCCCAGGACCCCGCGGCGACGGGCCATGGGGGATGCGGTTCTGCCCTCACCAGAGCACACCACGCCGGCGTCCCGCGAGGTTCCCGCGGGCTCCTGCAGGGTCGCGGACACGTTGCACTGAGTCAGGCGGGTCTCGGTGCCCAGACAGCGCGCGCGGCTCAGCGACACCTGGACGGACCCGCGGCTGGGGGCAGGTGCGTCATAGGCTTGTTCGGCCGCTCCGCACCCGAGCTGCCGGCACACCACGTCCGCGCCGCGCAGGTCCCAGGCATCGTCCAGGACGCGGCCCCACACGCCCTCCAGGGAGACCTCCACGCGGCCATCACAGCGGCTCTGTCCTTCCCTCAGCCGCACGGCGTGGGGCAGACCTGGGGATGGGGACGCACAGGGGACCCAGGGTGTCAGCGGGAGGGACCCGGAACCACCCCACAGCAGGGCCCCTCCCTCTCCGCCCCCTCTGTCCATGCCTCTCACCCACCCTCCTCCTCCACCGTCCTGGCTGCACCCACCTGAGCAGACCGCGGAGGCTGAGTTTCCCGGGGCACAGGCCGGGACGCCCAGGGTGCTTACTGGGCAATTCCACAAGTAGGGTTCTGTCCCCCCACAGTGAAACGCGTCAGGCCAGATGGCAGCGTCCCCGTCCCCAAAATGGCCTCCTCGAGGTGTGGCCACCGCACTGCCACAATTGAGCTGATGGCAGAGGACGGTGGCATCTGCTATGTCCCAGTGGGTGGCACAGAGGGGCGCCCAGGACCCCTGCACCTGGAGCTCCACGCGGCCCTCACAGCTGCTGCTGCCATTGACCAGCCTGAACTCTGGGGGAGAGGAAGAGTCAGCGTGGCTCGCACATGGCAGACACTGTCTGCACTTTCCTTCATGTGAGCCTGAGCCTGGTTACACAGTCCAGTACTTGGGGGACCAGACTGAGGGCATGAAAACAGCTTTGGCGAGTGACGTCACCACAATTGCCTGGGAAATCAAAAAGTGAAGGGCATCATCCCTTCACTTAGGCAGTGATTAAGTTGGGAAAACTATGGAAATACACTTTGTCAGTGCTCTGGAATGCACCCAACACAGGGGAACGCTAATAAAGGTGAAGCTGCTGAATGTTGTCTCCAATAAGCAGGCAGTGAGCACCAAGACAGAGCTCCACACACCCTCTCAGATCCTGCTTCTCATTGCCAGCCAAAGCTCTGGGAAACGGGGCAGCACCCCTGGCCCCAGTCCCCAGGCCCCACACATGCTGCTGCACCTGGTTCTTGGCGTGAGCCTAGTCAAACATACCCCACACCCTGCACGTCAGAGGAAATGCCTGAGGGTAAGTAGCAACAACAGTATACGTGGCAGAGTAAGGAACCCCAAAGCTCCATCTCCCTCTAATGTAATGACTAGGTGGTAAAACTCATAACCAACTTTTTTGAAATTCTAGTATCTGGGAACAACTTGAAACCACTTAAGGAAGAAAGAAGTGGCAAATTTGATTCTGCATAAGGAAAGAGTGAAGAATAATGCCTTAGTATTGAAGGTGTGCCCCAACAAAGAGCTAACATGCAAAGACTGGAAGAGTCGGGAGTGCTTGTTTGTCTGTTTTTTACTATGGGCATTTAAGGAAACATGTCTAATCACTAACCCCACTAACCAACAGAAAAGAGACCCTAGTGGTCACATGCAACAAAGAGTCTTTACAAAAGGAGTTTAGAAAAGTCATTAAACAGGGCCAGGCACGGTAGCTCATGCCTGTCATCCCAGCCCTTTGGGAGGCCAAGACGGGTGGATCATGAGGTCAGGAGTTCAATACCAGCCTGGCCAAGATGGTGAAACCCTGTCTCTACTAAAAATACAAAAATTAGCCAGGCACAAAATTATTACTAATTACTAATACAAAAATTAGTGGTGGATGCCTGTAATTCCAGCTACTCGGGAGGCAGAGGCAGAACTGCTTGAACACAGGGGGCGGAGGTTGCAGTGAGCCAAGATCACACTACTACACTCCAGCCTAGATGAAACAGCGAGACTCCATCTCAAAGAAAAAAAAAAAAATCAGCAACAACCAACCCTGGTGATAGAGAAAAATGTGATTTCTAGAGTTGCCACAGTATAATAATTCAAAATGTCCAGTTTCCAACAAAAAAGATGAGACATGCAAAGTAACCATAAATTATAACACATTTATAGGGGGAAAAGGGAAATAGAAATTGTCCTTGAGGATGCTAAGTTATCAGACTTACTAGACAAATACTTTAAATACACTGTCTTAGATATGCTCAAAAAGCTATAGGAAACCAGGATAATGGTATCTTACCAAATAAGGAATATTGATAAAAATATATAAATTATAAAAAGGAATTGAGTAGATTTTTCTGTAGCTTAAAAAAGTTCAATAACAAATGAAAAATTCACTAAAAGGTTCAACAGCAGATCCCTTGAGTGAGCAAAAGATAGAATCTATGAACTTGAATATAAGTCAATTCAGATTATCTAGTCTGAGGAGCAGAAAGAAAAAAGAATTAAAAAAATCAATAGATCCCAAAAGACCTGTGGGACACCATTAAGGATACTAAGAGATGCATAATCAGAGTCACAGAAAGAGAGAACACTGGCTCTTCCACAGAATAACAAAAAAAAAAAAAATTTTAAGAGAGAGAGGAGAAAGTGAAAGAAAAAATATTTGAAGAAATAATGGTAAAAAAATTCCAAGTTTGATGAAAGATATAAGTCTGCATCCAAGAAGCTCAACGAACTTCAAGTAGGTTATACTTAAAAATATCTGCACTGAGACACGTTAAAATCAAACTCTCAAAAGACAAATGTAAAGAGAATCTTGAAAGTAGCAAGAGAGAAGCGACTCGTCATGTACAAGGGATCCTCCATAAGACCAACGGTTGATTTCTCAGCAGGAACCACGGAAGCCAGAAAGCAGTGGAATAGTATATTTAAAGTGCTGAGAGGAAAACCTGGTCACTCCAAAATTCTGTATCTAGCAAAACTATCCTTAAAAATGAAGAACTTTAAACAAAAGCTGAGGAAACTCATTGCTAGTAGACTTGTCCTACAAGAAATGCTAAAGGGTTTAATTCAGGCTGAAATAAAGGCACTAAACAGTAAATCAAAGCCTAATGATTAATCTAATAACACTGATAAGGATAATTACATAGGAAAATATAAAGGCCAACAGTATTGTATTTGGGGTTTGTTATACCTTTGTTTGTTCATACATGCTTTAAAAAAATAGGCATGAAACAAAATTATACATTTATGTTAATGGACAATGTGTAAAGATGAATTAGTGACAATAACAATATAAGAGCAGAGATTTTGTATACTATTGAAACTAAGTTGGTTTTAGTGCAAACCAGAGGTTTGTAAATTTAAAATATTTCTTATGATCTCCAGGGGAACCACTAGATAGAAAACTAAGAAATATACCAAAAAATAAAAAAACAGAATGGGAAGGGAGTGAAAATGGTACACTGTAAATGTCAATTAAATGCAAAAGAAGGCAGTAATGGAGGAATTGAGGAACAAAAAAAATAAGACATGTAGGAAACAAATAGAAAAATAGCAGAAGTGAATACTCCTTATTGGTAATTACTTTATTTTTTTTTTTTTTTTTTTTTTTTTTTTTTTTTTTTTGAGGCGGAGTCTTCACTCTGTCCCAGGCTGGAGTGCAGTGGCACCATCTCGGCTCACTGCAAGCTCCGCCTCCCGGGTTCGCGCCATTCTCCTGCCTCAGCCTCCGGAGTAGCTGGGACTACAGGCGCCCGCCACCGCGCCCGGCTAATTTTTTGTATTTTTTTTTTTAGTAGAGACGGGGTTTCACCGTGATAGCCAGGATGGTCTCGATCTACTGACCTCGTGATCCGCCCGCCTCGGCCTCCCAAAGTGCAGGGATTACAGGCGTGAGCCACCGCGCCCGGCCAGGTAATTACTTTAAATGTAAAGGGATTAAACCATCTAAATAAAAGGCAGGAAGGGACAAAATGGATTTTTTTAAAAACTTGTTTTAAAATGTGCTCTCTTCATAAATTCACTTCAGATCAAAAGACCATTAGGTTAAAAGTGAAAGTTTGGAAAAGATACACATAGTCACCAAAAGAGAGTTGAAGTAGCTATACAAATATCAGACAAAATAGACCTAGTCACAGTTTGAATGTTCATGTTCCTCCAAAATTCATGCTGAGATAGAATCCGAAAAGCAACAGTATTAAGAGGTGGAGCTTTTTGGAGGTGGTTAAGCCATGAGGGCTCCATCCTCATGAAGGACATTAGCCCTCATAAAGGGCTCAAGGGAGCAACTTCATCCCTTTTCCTCTTTTGCTCCTCTGTTACGTGAGGACACAAAGAAGGCCCCGTCTGTGAGGAACAGGTCCCTCCAGACACTGAATCTGCTGGTTCCCTGACCCTGGATTTCTCAGCCTCCAGAACTCTGAGACATACATTTCTGTCATTTACAAATTACCCAGTCTACAGTGTTTTCTATAGCAGCCTAGATGGACTAAGACAGACTTTAAGTTAAAAATTGTGAGGAGAGATAAGAAAAGGATTATATATTTATTAAAGGGTCAGTCCATCAAAAGAATATACAACAAATATAAGCATATGTGCAGCTAATAACAGAGCCAAAAGTAATAAAGAAAAAAATTGACCAAATTGAAGGCAGAAATAGATGACTGTAAATAATAACTAGAACCAAAAACATCTCACTTTTAATAATGGATAGACCATCTATGCATATAGCTAATAAGGAAAGAAATCACTGGAAGAACACTATAAACCAACTAGACCTCACAGACATATGCGAAACACTGTGCTCAACTCAGCAAAATACACATTTTTCTCTCGTGTCCATGAAATGTTCATCAGGGTAGACACTATGTTGAGGCATAAATCAAGTCCGAATAAATTTTAAAGAACTGAAATCATAAAAAGCATCTTCTCTGACCATAAAGGAATGAAGTTAGAAATAAATTTAAAAGGGGAAACTGGGAAATTATCAAATAGAACACACCCATAAGCAACCAATAAGTCAAGGAAGAAATCACAAGGAAAATTAGAAAATACTTTTGGATGAATGAAAGTGAAAACACAACATAACAAAATTTATGGATTGAAATGAAAGCAATGCTTAGAGAAAAATTTATAGTAACGAACATCTATATTAGGAGCAAATAAATATCTCAAATTAATAATGGCATTTATACCTTAAAAAACTAGAAAAGGAAGAATAAACTAAACCTGAAGCTAGCAGAAGGAAGGAGATACTAAATGAAATATAGAATGAAAAACAATAGAGATAATAACAAAAATAAAAGCTAAGTCTGTGAAGAGATCAACAAAAGTGACAACATTTAGCTAGACTGACCAATAAAAAAAAGAGAACACCCAGCTGGGCGTGGTGGCTCATGCCTGGAATCCCAGCACTGTGGGAGGTCAAGGCAGGTGGATCACGAGGTCAGGAGATTGAGACCAACCTGGCTAACATGGTGAAACCCCGTCTCTACTACAAATACAAAAAAAAAAAAAAAAATTAGCCAGGCGTGGTGGCGGGTGCCTATACTCCCAATGACTCGGGAGGCTGAGGCAGGAGAATGGTGTGAACCCGGGAGGCAGAGCTTGCAGTGAGCTGAGATCGCGCCACTGCACTCCAGCCTGGGTGACAGAGTGAGACTCCATCTCAAAAAAAAAAAAAGAGAGAACATTCAAATTACCAAAATCAGAAATGAATGTGGGGGGTACTTGGTATGAAATCTATACAAATAAAAGAGAAGTGTAAATGAACACCTTGACTAATTTCATAGTATTCACCCCCCAGTTAGATAATTTAGATGAAATGAACAGATTTCTAGAAATACACAAATTATCAAAACTGACCCAATAATGAACAGAAAATCTGAACAGAGCTATAAAAAGTAAAGGAAATAAATCAGTAAACAAAAACCTCTGAACAAAGAAAAGCCAAGCACCAGGTATCTTCACTTCACTAGAATGAAGGAAAAAAAAATAAAACAAAATAAAACATGATAATTTCAATTGATGCAGAACAAGCATTTGACAAAATCCAACAGACTGTCATGATAAAGCATTCAACAAACCAGAATAGAAGGGAACTTCCTCAATGTGCTGAAGAACATTTATTAAAAACCCACAACTAGCATCATACTCAATGAAGAAAAACTGAAAGCTTATCCCTTGAGATAAGGAACAAGACAAATATACACTTTTTCACCATTTCTACTCAACATTCTACTGCAAGTTCTAGCCAGAGAAATTAGGCAAGAGAAAAGAAATAAAAAGCATCTGTATTGGAAAGGAAGAGGAAAAACTATCTGTATTCACAGGTACATGATCTTACATATAGAAAATCCTACAGAATCCACCAGAAAACTATTTAAAGCCATAAGAAATTTCAGGAAAAAAGAGGGCATAAAAAAATAGTTGCATTTCTATATTCTAACTATGAATAATAATAAAAGAAGACCCCAAGAATACTCAAAGCAATCCTGAGCAAAGATCAAAGCTGAAGGTATCACATTACTGGATTTCAAAGTATACTACAAAACTATAGTAACCAAAACAGCATGGTACTTGATATGAAAATAGACACATAGGCCAGTGAAACAGAGAGAGAAGATAAATAAATCCATGTACTTACAGTCACCTGATTTTTAACAAAGGTGCCAAGAATACACATTGGGAAAAGGACAGTCTCATCAACAAATGGTGCTGAGAACACTGGATATCCACATGCAGAATGAAACTAGACCCCTGCCTCTCACTATATACAAAAATCAATTCAAGGTTTATTACAGACCTAAATGAAAGACCCACAACGATAGAGACAACTAGAAGAGAACAGGGGAAGTGCTCAGGACATTGGTCTAGCAAGGATTTTTCAGATAATACCTGAAAAGCACAGGCAACAAAAGCAAAAATAGACAAATGGGTTTACAGAAAACTAACAACCTTCCATACAGCAAAGGAAACAATTGACAACATGAGAGAAAAACAGTAAGTTGAAGAGATATCTGTACCCCCATGTTTATGGCAACACTAATCACAATAGCCAAACTATGGACTTGAACCTGTGTTCATCAATGGGTAAATAGAGAAAATGTGGTCTATATATTACACAAAATGAAATCTTATTCAGTCTTAAAAACAGAATGGAATCCTGTCATTTGCAGCAATGTGGATGGCCTGGCAGACATTATGTTAGGTGAAATAAGTCAGAGAAAGACAAACACCAGAGGATCCCACTTGCACATGGAATCTTGAAAAGTTGATCTCATAGAAGTAGACAGTAGAATGGGGCTACCAGAGTTAGGGAGTGTAGTGAGGAGGAGATATGGGGGTGACTGGTCAACTGGTAAAACGGTAGAGACAGAGAGAGAAGTTTCGGTGTTCTACAGCACAGGCGGTTGGATACAATTAACAGTATTGTACTATATATTTCAAAATAGCTAGAAGAGAGAATTTTGAATGTCCTCACCACAAAGATACAATCATGTTGAGGTGATGGATACGCTGAATGCCCTGATTTGATTATTACATAATATATACATGCACTGGAACCCTGCACTATACCCCATAAATGTGTACAATTAGTATGTGTCCAAAATGTGTCAATTTAAAAAAGAATGAAATAATAATAATAATGTTTACCAAGGAGGCCCAAGACAGACTTATACACTGAAAAATACAAAACATTTTTGAAAACAATCAGTGAAAACCTAAACAAATGCAAAGACATTCTATGTTCATAGATTGAAAGATTTAATATTGTTAAGACGGCAATACTCCCAAACCAATCCACAGATTCTATGAAATCCCTATCAAAATCCCAACAACTATTTTTTGTTCAGAGATAGAACTGATTCTAAAATTCAGATGCAATTTCAAGGGACCTTAAATAACCAAAACAATACTGAAAAAGAAAAACTTACAGGACTCATTTCCCTATTTCAAAACTACTACAGAGCTATGGTAATCAACACAGCATGCCACTGGCATGAAAATACACATATAAGTCAACAGAACAGATTGAATGTCCCAAAATAAGTGTATCCATGTGGAGCAAAGGATTTTCACATGGTGTGAAGAAAATTCAATAGGAAAGATCACCTAATCATTACAAAAGTATATATGTACTGAGACATCACACTGTACAATTATTATGTGTCATTTTAGAACAATAAATACATACGTTCAAAACATAAGGAAAGAATAATGTCTTCAACAAATGGACAACTGGGCGCCACACACAAAGGAATGAATGGAACCCTTTCCTTATACCATATACAAAATGTAAGTCAAAGTCAATCAAAGACCAAATAACAGCTGAAACTATACAACTGAGAAAAAACCACAGGAGTAGTCTTCATGACCTTGGATTAGAGACTGGATTCTTAGATATGACACTAAAAGTTCAAGAAACAAAAGGGGAATAAATAGGTAAACAGGACTTCCTCAAAACTAGAAGCTTGTGCCTGAAGGGGCATTATCGGAAGTGAAAAACACCCCACAGAACGGGGGGAAATATTTGCCAATGATATATTGAAAGGGATGTAGGGTCCGCATGGAGAAGGGTCCTGAATAAACATTCCTCCAAAGATGAGCAACTCAAAGTCAACAAACACCTGCGAGAGGAAGGGAGGGAGGGAGGGAGCGAGGAATGAAGAGAGGGAGGGAGGAAGGAAGGAGGGAGGAAGGAAGGGAGGGAGGGAATGGAGGGAGGAAGGGAGGGAGGGAGGAAGGAAGGGAGGGAGGGAATGGAGGGAGGAAGGGAGGGAGGGAGGAAGGAAGGGAGGGAGGGAATGGAGGGAGGGAGGGAGAAGGAAGGAGGGAGGGAGGGAGGGATGGAGGAGGAGGAAGGAGGGAGGAGGAGGAAGGAAGAGGGAGGAGGAAGGAAGGAGGGAGGGAGGAAGGAGGGAGGGAATGGAGGGAGGAAGGAAGAGAGGGAGGGAGGAAGGAAAGGAGGAGAGGAAGGAGGGAGGGAGGGAGGAAGAAGGAAGGGAGGGGGAGGAGGAAGGGAGGAAAGGGAGGAGGGAGGGGAGGAGGAAGGAGAAAGGAAGGAGGAAGGAAGGAGGGAGGGAGGGAGGAAGGAGGGAGGGAGGGAGGAAGGAAGGAGGGAGGGAGGAGGGAGGGAGGGAGGAAGGAGGGAGGGAGGGAGGAAGGAAGGAAGGGAGGGAGAGAGGAAGGGAGGAAAGGAGGGAGGGAGAAAGGAAGGAGGAAGGAAGGAGGAGGAGGAGGAGGGAAGGAAGGAGGGAGAGGAAGGAAAGGGAGGGGAGAGGAGGGAGGAAGGAGGAGGGAGGGGAGGAGAAGGAAGGAGGGAAGGAAGGAGGGAGGGGGAGGAGAGGAAGGAGGAGGAGAAGGAAGGGAGGGGAGAGGGAAGGGAGGAAGGAGGAGGGAAAGGAGGGAAGGAGGGAGGAGGGAGGGGAGGGAGGGGAGGAGGAGGGAGGAGGAAGGAGGGAAGGGGAGGAGGAGAGGGAGGGAGGAGGAAGGGAGGGGGGGGAGGGAAGGAGGAGGGAAGGAGGGAAGAAGGGGGGAGGGAGGAGAGGAAGGAGGGAAGGAAGGAGGGAAGGAGGGAGGGAGAGGAAGGAAGCTGGGGTCCCAGCAGCCCCAGGCCCAGGGCGCGAGCGCCGGGTTCGGTGTCCAGGGAGTGGCCGTGCCCGCGCCCCACAGGGCACTGAGCGCCGCCCCCGCCCCACAGCCTCGGCCTCCCTGCCCCGACCCAGCCTCCCTGCCCGGACCCGGGTGACTTACTTTCTCCCGTGCACCTGAGCCCCGCGTCACGGCCGGGCCCACACTGGCTCCCGCGCGCCCGCGGGCAGTGGAACAGCAGCGACTCGTTGCCCGCACAGCGGAAGGCCTCCGTCCACACCGGCCCCGAGCCCCGGCCGAAGCGGGCGCCCTCGGGCGTGGACGCCGCCGCCCCGCACTGCAGCTCCCGGCACACTACGTGGGCCGTGGCCAGGTCCAGGTCCGCGTGGCAGACGGTGCCCCAGGTCAGGCCCCGCCTCACCTCCAGGCGCCCGGCGCAGGGGTGCTCGCCGCCCACCAGCCGGGCCTCGGTGTGTCCTGGGGGCAGACGCTGGGCTGGAGCACAGGGCAGGACCGGCTCGGTGTAGGCCTCTGGGATGAAGCGACCTGACCGCTGCCCTCGGGTCCCACGGAAAGGACCGATGCAGGAGGACTCAGGACCACCGGGGCTGGTCCGGCCCCTGGGGCTCTGAAGCGGCAGGAGAGGTCCTGGGGTGGGCAGGCGGAGGCCTCTGCCACCCTCCCATCTCCCTGGGGTCCTGGCTCCGGCAGAATTCGGACAGCAACAGTCCCCACCCCAAAACAAGGATGTCTATCCCGGGGCCTGGGGCCCCCACATCTGTGTCATGGAGCCCACTCCCAGGCTGGGACCTGGACCCTGGCAGGCCACTGTAACCACCTGGTCAGTTTTAAGCCCAGTGCCCAGCCACACCCTGGCCAGAGCCCCGAGGGAGGAGCTGCCATCCGTGTCAGCCATCTCCCCAGGTGACCCCTGGGCCACCAGCCCCTCTCCCTCCCCCGGACAGGGGTACAGGAGGGCAGCAGCATAGGGGCCTCGCTGGGCAGGTGCTGAAGCCCCAGGAGACAAGACCCCCACACCCTGTAGGCCAGGGCCATCCCCTCAGTCCCCGCACACTGCTCTGAGTGGACACCTCCTGTCTCAGAGATTCTCAGGAAAGGGCGTCCGTACCTGCACACACCACCTCAGAGTCTGTTGGGAGGTCACAGTGGTCTAGGAAGTTCAGGTTGAACCTGCAGTTGAAGATGCTGGACTCTGTTCCCTGGCAGGAAATGACTTTCGAGCCCAGCCAGCCTGGGTGCCCTGTGAGGTGGGGCCTGGATGCCTGGAGCGCTGGGCCGCACCCCAGCCTTCCGCAGAAGACGCTGGCCTCCTTCTGGTGCAAGCCACAGCTTATCACAGGGCCTTCCGTTATCCGGATCACAGGGGTCCCCGCACAGGGGCTGCCTCCACCACGCAGCCCCAGGGAGGCCAGCTTTCCTCCTGCACACACAGGTGCCCACTCTGGTTCCACTTCAGTTCTGCTGGGGCTTGGTCCTCCCACCCCTAACGTGTGGACTGAAGCAATGGCCTTTGTTGAAGGATGAGGTGTGTGGGGGTCTGCAGCAGAGGCCTTTCTTTCGGGCCCAGGACCCCAGAGGGGGCAGCCAGAGACTATACCTGCCCACTTTAGGTCCCCTCTCCCCACCACCCTGTGCCCAAGAGGCCACCTGCATAGATGGCAGGACAAGCTCCATGCCCTCTGGCTTCTGGGGCCTTGCCCACAGTGAGGGCCCATCAAGTGGGGAGGACAGCACATAGGAGATCGGCCCATCTGCTCCTCTCTGAGAGGCCCTGCAGGCCAGTATCCCAGGCCTGGTCATACCCCCACAGTGCTCTCCACACAGGGCCAGCTGTCTCTGGTTCTGGAGCTCATGCCTTGGAGTTTGCAGGCCAAGGCCCTCTGGTGCCAGTGGCCTCTCCTTGCCTGTGTCAATGCCCCTCATTTCTCTCTCCTCACACATGCCACTTTGAGCCTCTGCTTCCCACCAACAATCCAGCAGAGGGGAAAGGGCAGGGTCCCCGCCAGAGCCTGAGCAGGACAGGGCTGCTGAAATCTGGGGCAGATCCAGGAGCTCAGAGCCTCCTGAGTGGGCCCTGACAAGGGAGAGCACAGGAGCAGAAAGCCGAGATGAGCGCCAGGAGGGAGCACCTCACTCAGCACCAGCCTCTGCACCTGCCTGAGCCCCTAGGCCGGTGCCTCCACTCATGCCAGCCACTCAGGGGAGGAAGAGAGGGACCCTTCACCCCACAAGGTCCCGTGGTCACCACTGGCCCCCAATGTTTGATGGTTGCCATGAGTCAGTTGAACCCAAAAGGACTGAACTCGGGCTGGGGTCCTGGCCAGGGATGGCCTCGGTGTGTAATATGTTCTTCAATTGTGCTGTGCCGTCTGGGCCTTTGGAGGGGACACACGTGGGGTCATACAGTGCCATGAGGGTCTGAAGGTCACAGCACTGGAGTCACAGTCACCCCAGGAAGAAGGGTCTTGTCTTCCACCCGGGGGGACTCAGGCAACACCCCTCCTCCCCAAAGTGAAGGTTGTGGGTGGGGACAGGGCCACAGACTGGCAGAAGTGGCTCCCGGGGCACCCGTCCTACCTGAGCAGTGGACTGCACCGATGCACTCACACTCACAGCTGTTCAGTGACCCCCACTTCCCCAGGGAGCAGTCCCAGAGCGAGGCCTCCACACCCTGGCACTGCACGCCCTGCAGCAAGGACTGCTGAGCCTCCTGCGGCCACACCACATACGTGGGGACATAGAGGGCGCGACCGCAGCCCAGCTGCCTGCAAATCACAGACGCCTCCCGCAGGCCCCAGTGGTCCCCACACACCAGGCCCTGCTGCCCCAGGGACTGCACCTGCAGGAGGCCCTCGCAGCGGTTTCCACCCCTCACCAGGGCCAGGGACTCTGCAGCGGGAGCTTCGGGGACAAGAACATAGGAAAGGCGTCATGGCAAAGGTACCCTTGAGTACTTTATGCCCAGAACTTCCGAAGTTAGAAATCTAACTGTCACCTTCCAGCCCAGTTTGCACCTTACTCTTGATTTTCCCAAGTTTTCTCACGCATTATTTGGATGTCACCAATAACATGAACAAACTTAAATATCAACAAAAATGAACAAAATGTTAACAAAAACAGCCTAAGGACCATTTTCTGAGGAAATTCAATGAAGTGAAGGTCCCAGCCTTTCACATGCATTTGGAAGGCCCAGAAAACAAGACTGTGATTACTCTGCCCACTCATGAGCCCTGCAGCGGACACCCCAGCCCTCTCTGGTCGCCAGCTGAGGCTCCCAGGATTCACAGCAAGGAGCAGACGGGACCACTGTGGTGTCGTGGCCCCCGCCCCCATGGAATGTCCTGCACACCGGGGCTCTGACCCCCAGCGCCCTGCAGGCAGGGGCACACACTCACCGGGAGGGCGGGTCCCGCAGGCCAGGAGCAGGGGCCACAGTCCCAGAGGGAACAATGCCATGCCTGGCCACTCTGCTGCTGCCGTGCCCCAGGCTGATGCTCTCGTGGCAGGGACGTGTGTTCCGCCCCCGGACGGAAGGTGGACGCCGACTCAGTGTGACACCTTTCTGAGAAGGAAGCCCGTGCACGCCCTCGCCTCCTCCCCCCATATCAGAGCTGTCATCTGTCACCCGTGCCTCAGCCCAGATGGTGCCAGCAGCGTGTGGTGAGGCCAGGCTGGGCTTCCTGCAGCTGGTGCCCAATGCAGCCCCAGGTGTGAGATGGACCAGTGAGGGCCCATTCTCAGCAAGGCCCTGGTGGCCACGGGTGCTGACACCAGGGCCTGGCAGCGGAGGGATGGATCTTCTCTGCCTCTCACAAAAGGTGCGGCTGAAGACCTAGGGTCGTGCCAAGCTCATGTGCTGTGAACACACAGACCTAGCAATGGGAGCAAAATTCTGAAAAACGTGCGTGCCTGCGACCCGAATTCGTAAGGGATGCACGGCCTCCCTGTGAGGCTGTGTCCTTGGGAAGCCGCCAAATCCAACAGAGGATTAAATCAATGATGTGGCGTCTGAGGCAAGGCCGGAAAGGGGCAGCGTGTATGCAGGGCTGGATAAACACTCGCATTTGGGCAAGTCAATACGCCAGCTACGTGCTTTTAGAGACGGGGTTTCGCCATGCTGCCCAGGCTGGTCTCGAACTTTTGGACTCAAGTGACCCGCCTGCCCTGGCCTTTTTTTTTTTTTTTTTTTTTGAGACGGAGTCTCGCTCTGTGGCCCAGGCTGGAGTACAGTGGCTGGACCTCAGCTCACTGCAAGCTCCGCCTCCCGGGCTCACGCCATTCTCCGGCCTCAGCCTCCCGAGTAGCTGGGACTACAGGCGCCCGCCACCTCGCCCAGCTAGTTTTTTGTATTTTTTAGTAGAGATGGGGTTTCACTGGGTTAGCCAGGATGGTCTCGATCTCCTGACCTTGTGATCCGCCCATCTTGGCCCCCCAAAGAGCTGGGATTACAGGCTTGAGCCACCGCGCCCGGCCGTCCTGGCCTCTTAAAGTGCTGAGATTACAGGCATCAGCACACCCCGTCTGGCCTGTTTTTACATGTACAATAATTAAGCATGGTATTATTTTATAAGCAGCATAATATCAATAAAGGTCAATTTCCAGTAGATTTGCCAGAGAACCAGTTCAGAACAGGGTGACTCCGGTTTCTAGACCTCTATGTGGAGACCAGGAGAGTGAGAGGGAACCAGATTTCCAGAGGTCACAGGCCCGTTCGCCAGGCTGTGTGTGCTGGAGCCCCGTGCCTGGGACCTGCCGCTGCCTCAGGTGCTTCCCCGCACTCTGACTTGCAAAGGGCCTCTTTAGTGCCCTGCACATGGAGTCAGGAAGGTGAAAGCCCTGGGGAGGCCTTGGGGGAGGGTTTGCAGCTCTAGGTCCCCGTGTCTGTGCCAATCGCTGTAAAAAAAAAAAACTCATAAAACACTGCTGCTGGGAGACTGAGGGGAAGAAACGGGAGGGGCGAGGCAGGCACACATGGCAAGGCTGGGAGGAGCGAGGCCGGCACACACGGCAAGGCTGGAGTGGGCAGCAACACCAGGGTCCTCCCTGTGGCACTGACAGCTTCACTCTGCTCCCCAAGTGTCCTCCACGTCCGTGTCTCATGCTCACACCTCATCCCATTTCCTGCCACCTCGCTGCTCTCTCCCCCACGGCCCCTCCACACACCTCATGCCTCCCTACCCTCACCCTCCCCAGGGACCACCCACATCCCCTACCCCCCACCTTGCCCTAAGGACACGCCTCGCATGGAGTCAAGCCAGGTTGGCCAACCCTCGATTAGGGGTTGTTGCCTGAGAGCAGGCCCTGCCGGTTCTCGGAGGGTAAGGTGTGCTCAGACGGTAGGTAAGCCTCTGCCCCCAGCTCCATCAGGAGCTGCTCCAGCTGCACCCCAAGAAGCTGGCCACACGTCCTCAGCACCGCACTTCTGCCCGGAGGCCCTGCCCATGCTCTCTGGACGTCCCCTCAGCACCCTCATTGGGCTTCCTGTCTGAGGAAGGGGCTTCTGGTTTATCTTCTCCGCCCGAGGTGGTCCTTGGACCCAAGCAGGGGCCCCCCTCACAATCCCAGGAAGTTGGAACAGAGGAGGGGTTTGGGGGATGGCAGGCAGCGTGCAGAGAGACCCCAAGGGTGCAGCTGGGGTCCTCACTGCTTACGGAGCCAGTGTCAGTGAGGCCAACAGCACGCTGCCCACACGCCAGGGCAAACACAGAGGCCAGACAGAGGCCGAAAGACCCTACAGGTGACGACTCACTGGATGTTTAGACCTGGGTGTTCCCAGTATGCTGAAACCTGAGATGAAGAAATCAGAAAAGATCTAAACATGCCTGACGGGGTCCTGCGTGGTGGAATCCTGGGTGGGTGGGATTGTTGGTGGGTTAGGTCCTGGGAGGGTGTGGTCAGCAATGAGGATGGTCAGGGAAAGCTTCGGGGCCCATCAGAGCAATGCAGCTGTAAGAAATGGAGATTCTGACCCCAAGCGCCCAGCGGAGCCCTCGCCATCCCCCTCAGCACTGTGTGTGCAGATGAAAGGCAGGAACCCAGGGGTGGTTCATCAGGGAGCCACAATGAAGGTTGGGCCCCTAACCTTGGAAGTCAGGTGGCAGCAGAGACAAGAAACGATCCAAGAGGTTGCCTGACTGGGAGACCCCTGACCCTCCTGCCTGAGTTCCAGGAGGAGTAGCCCACATCCCGACTCAGTAAAACAGTGAAAACAATGTGGACTGGAGACACACACAGTCGCCCTCAGACAAGAAGACAAAGGACCAGGTGAGGCAGACAGCCGGGCCCAGAACAGAACCTGGACCATCATGGTGTCTGTTGAACGTTTCTGGATCGAATTAATGACGGATGAGTGAATTCAAAGAGAGTTTAATAACATCTGTTTTGGGAGTGAGGACAAGGAAGACCCCAGCCTTCCCTGGTGTATCCCACTCTCTCCACACACTGACATCCCCACTGTCAGCTCCAGGTCATCACGTCCTGGGGCAGAGGCCACCATGGTCTTCCATCCCAGCCTCAGCTTCGGGGCCCAGGCTGAAAGGAGCCCCACCTGTGTTTAGGGAGACAGACACAGGGTCCATTGGGGTGCTGAGCGATTTCTCAAAGCCCAGGAGTTCCCATCTCCCGGTTTCTTGCTGGGAAGCAAAGCCTCAAAGGGACAAGGATGGGACACAGTGGGTCGGGAGACAGTGATATGGCTTCTCACAGTGACCTGGGCTGCCCAGCGCCCCTCCTGCAGCCGACCGGGACAAGGTGCTGGAAGGACACTGCTCAGCTGCAAAAGCAACCCAAATATAGACCTATGACCTCCCTAAGTCCACATCTACCCCCTGGGAGATGCAGCTTCAAAAGGACAGCCAGAAGTCCTAATGCCCCAGGCCCGAGACAGGAGAGAAAGTCACGGACACGTGAGAAGCAGCTCTCAGGTTCTTTAAATGTAGGCGCTGGCCAGAGCACAGCCCTCTGCATAGGAGCAGTACAGCAGGAAGAGCACCATGGATGCCAGGACACAGAGGTGCACACCTGCGGGGCTCAGCAGCACCCTGGCCTCCTCCGCCTCCTCCCCAGTGCCATCCTCGGGCTCTCCCACATCGTCATAGTCCTCCTCCAGGCCCAGGTCCCCGGATCCTGCAGGTCCCTCGTCTTTCTCCTCCATGGGGAAGGCTCCGATGTCCTCATAGACACCCTCTGAGGACAGATGGCCTGACATGTCCCAACCTGCAAAGGCCCCACCAGAATGTTCTAGAAGAAATGCTCCTGCAGTCCAAGCCCACCCTGCCTGGCCCCTGCGGTCTCTCATGCACACCAGGAGCACCCCTGGCTCCTCTGTCAGCAGCCCCCACAGACGGCAAAGACCCCCCAGCCAGAGGCCACTTTCTACTCAGGGCCCCCAGGAATGCGGTCCTAGGGTGGGACCGGTGGCCTCCGCCTCTGAACACACCCAGGAAAGCCCCCATTGGACATAAGTCTTAAGGGTCAGCAGAATCCTGAAGCCCGTTCTCACTCCAGGCAGCCCTGGGAGTGTGGATTTCCTTGATCCAGCACATCGCGGGGGCAAAGCAAGACTCAGACTCAGGGTCCCTGAGGCCCAGACAGAGAGTCACTGAGCAGTCACCATGGGGAAGGCCACTTAGCATGCAGGGCAGTGACCAGGACAGAAAGGGTCTGCAATGACAGGGCCCACAGAGCATGCCCCCCAGCCTCCCCACCCCAGGCCCCTGCTCACCACACCTGGGCACACCCACCTACCCCTGCAGGCTGCTCTGCGGCGGCACCACTGCGTGCCCAGGAACAGGGAGATGATGCCCAGGAGGGAGCCAAGGACCAGGCAGGTGATCTCAGGCAGGGCCCAGGCCTTGTGGGCAGGTGGAGGGGCCAAGGGAGGGGCTGTGGGGCACAGTGAGAGGCGGGGCCTGCTGTGCACCTGGGCTGCCTGGGCCATTGTGACCCTGGCCCTGGGGGACCTCAGCCTCACAGGGATGGGGCCACCCCAGGAGAGGTGGGCCTTTGTGCTGCCTGAACGGGCGCTCCTCCTGTGGAGAGACACTGTGGAGGTCGAGGCCACCACACGAGAGGCCCAGGTGGAGGGCCCAGGTGGGAGAATCCAGGAGGCCTGTAGGCCCAGATAGTGGGTACCAGGGAGGAAGGCCCACGTGGGAGGGCACAGGTGGACAAATCCAGCTGTGTAGGCCCAGAGAGCGGTTACAGTTGGGAGGGCACAGGTGGGGAGGCATGAGTGCAGGGCTGAGGCGGAAGGCACAGGTGGGAAAATGCAGGTATGTGGGCCCAGATAGGAGCATCAGAGGATGATCTGGGAGGGGGTGAGGCCTGTGGAATGCGCTTAGCATCCTGACTGCCCACTGCCCTCAGCTCTGCCTTGAACACAGACCTAGGGTCCAAGGGGCCACAGCTTTCCAGGGCCAAGCCCCCCGCAGCCACCAAGGCAAAGACCCCAGAGA